AGACAAACATGGCACACGCTGTGCAGGTAACAACAGCAGACCCATCACCAACCATCGCTGCTGTCCTGGAAAAGGGATTTAAAAAGAAAGGGAAGAGAACCTCCCGCCCTTCCCAACTTCCTCTCAAAACTCCCTGTTAGCACTCACCTGTTCGCAAGCTCCTTGGTCGCTTGCCCACTGCTTTATAAAGCCCCTCCCCCTACCAAGGCTCAGCCAATCAGCAGAGGCTTCTAGAATTCAAACGTTAATTAGAAGCCAACAGTTTCCACCTGCCAATCATAGCCAATCACAGCACAAACTCCATCAAGGGGAGGGGGAGGGCAGAGGGGAGGTGGGGAAAAAAAAAGCCTTCTCTAAAGCCTCACTCAAACAGGGAAAGAAAAAAAAAAACACCACCACACACCAAACAAACACAAGCTCAGCACACAGTAAGAAAGCCCCAAACACAAGCTCAGCACACAGTAAGAAAGCCCCAATAACAAAACACACTTTCCTCAAGAGTCCTGTATCTGCTTCTCCTTCACTTGGAGAACTCCCTCTCAAAACTCCCTGTTAGCACTCACCTGTTCCATCACCCTCTACCTCGTGGTTTGATTAGATCATCTCTATCCATTATGCTGTCATTTTGATATACAGATACAACCAAGCTACACCTCACTCCTGATGTGTCAGGCTGCCACCCACTGACACTACTTAAATACTGCCCATCACCCTGTACCTCGTGGTTTGATTAGATCATCTCTATCCATTATGCTGTCATTTTAGACCCTTTCCTGAACCTGGGTCTGTATCTGTGAGGAATGGGTACCAAGGTCTTTTTTAATGAGCTAGTGATATCATGTGCTTTCCACTTATGACCAGTACCAATTATTGTTCTGCAGTTGGTAGTTAGCACCAATTAGTGTTTTGCACTCTCAGCCCTGTTTGTGCCATGTTCTGTGAACTGGGGCCTACCTCTTGCTCACAGCTTAGCTTTGCTTTATGTTAGCCATGTTTTGTCCATTGTTAGCTAGGCCTCAGATCAGGCTTGTGCTGCATGGGCTTATGTTTTAGGCCTTCATCTTACTACAGTAAGAGGGCTGGCAGGTTCTGTCCATCCACCCTGTATCCGTTGGCCACAGAAGCAAACCCAATGGCTGTGTCTACACTGGGCCACTTATTCCGGAAAATCAGCCGCTTTTCCGGAATAAGCTGCGAGCTGTCTACACTGGCCCTTGAATTTCTGGAAAAGCAACGATGCTCTACTGTACAAAATCAGCCGCTATTCCGGAAAAACTATTCTGCTCCCGCTCGGGCATAAGTCCTTATTCCGGAACACTGTTCCGGAAAAGGGCCAGTGTAGACAGCCCAGTAGTCTTTTCCGGAAAAAAGCCCCGATCGCGAAAATGGCATATGTCCTTAGTCCGGAACACTGTTCCGGAAAAGGGCCAGTGTAGACAGCCCAGTAGTCTTTTCCGGAAAAGCGCGTCTACATTGGCCACAGACGCTTTTCCGGAAAAACTGAAAACGGAATAGTATTCCGTTTTAAGCATTTCCGGAAATTCATGCCAGTGTAGACACAGCCTATGTGTCCAGAGTCTCTGTGGATGAGTTAGAAGCTCTTTGCCTGGGGATCAAGAGAGGAAGAGGGCTCCCTACAAGTGGAAGGCAGTGGTCTCCTGCCTCTTGCAGGTCTTTCAGGTTTCTCGTTTTCCATGACCTGTGACTGTGGTCTCTGGATCAAGGATGTGTTTACTGGGAGCTACAAGGTTTCAGGCTCCTGTGTTCCTGGAGAGCAAATGGTGTGGGAGCCTCAGGGTGTGAGTGGCACAGGGCTTTGATGAGTGTGGTGTGGCTGTGGAGGCTGCATGTGTGTTGTGGGCAGGCTGCCACTCATCACCTAACATCGTGCCTCTGCTTTGCCCCGCAGTTCTCTGCAGACCCCTTGAATGGCTCCTCTGCCACACTGCCACTGAAGCCCCAGCACTGAAAGTAACAGGGCCCACAGTAAAAGTGACATGGTAAGAGCAGGGCCTCTGCAGCGGGACAGACAATAGATGTAGCTTCCCTAGGGAAATCAGAAGAACAGGGGAGCCATTTCATCTCATTGCACCTGTGGCTGCTTGGAGAGTCTCTCTGGGCCAGCGCCTATACAGATTTGGGAGTGGAAGGTAAAGCAGCTGCCAGCAGACGCCTAAGGGAGTTGCTGGGGTCTGAACCACTTGCGGGGGAGAATTTGTTGTTTCAGTAGCACTGGGGAGAGCACAGTGCATCAAAGGCAATAACCACATATTTCAGGAACCCTGAGGAACTCAGTCTGTTAAAGGCTGAAACATATGACAACAAATGGCCCAACAACAGGAGAGAATAAGTGTCACAGCAAGTTAATCTGTGTTCTGCTTTGTCCAACTGCATGTACAGCTTGTGAGTCAGAGAGGGGCCCAGAAGCCAGTGGGGAGACACTGAGCAGGCAGCACTAGACATTCAGCAAGGGCAGTGGAGAGAGAAAAGCAAGGGCAGAGCTGTGCATCTGAGGTAGAAGAGCTGGGATTTGATGTGAATGGAGCATGTAACCAGCGATGGGGTTTGAGTGAGGGCTGAAATAGTCTAAGCAGCAGGAGACAGAGGATACTGTAGCCATAGTATATGGGATGGATTACGGAGAGCACTGGGGAGGGAGTGACCTGATAAAAGATGGCCAGGAAGGAAGGCTTTTCCAGGGCTCAGGCACTGTGGCAGGATTTGAGGGAGGAACAGAGAAAAAATAAGTGCTGAAGAAAAAGCAGAGTTCTGAAAGCAAAGACTTTAAACATGGACAGTGACTGTCCACTAGCTCCTGCAATAAATGCAAGTACGTGAGGCTGAAAGCCAGGGTTCCTGAGATATGTGGGAGTTGCAGACTTATAGGGTAAGACTGAATTAGCAGCAGCTCTGGCTGGCATTTGCTGCCTCCACAGGGGCAGAGTTTGTTCTAGACAGATGGTGGGGACAGTCTTCTCTGCTGAAGTGTCAGCTGGTGGAATGCTGGGGGTTCATAGATGGCCAAGCCTGAAGGGACTATAAGAACATAAGAATGGCCATACAGGGTCAGCCCAAGGGTCCATCTAACCCAGTATTCTGTCTTCCAACAGTGGCCAATGCCAGGTGCCCCAGAGGGAGTGAACAGAACACGGAATCATCAAGTAATCCCTCCCCTGTTGCCCATTTCCAGCATCTGACAAACAGAAGCTAGGGACACCAGTCCTACCTCTTCTGGCTAAAAGCCATTTGATGGGCCTGTTCTCCATGAATTTATCTAGCTCTCCTTTAGACCCTGTTGAAGTCTTGGCCTTCACAACATCCTCTGGCAGGGATGTTTGTGTATTGTGTGTAGAAACACTTTGTTTTAAACCTGCTGTCTATTAATTTCATTTGGGTGACCCCTAGTTCTTGTACTTCCTTAGGCAACTACAGCCCATTGGTGATCTTCCAGAAAACATCATCCTAGCCACTATGGATGTAGAAGCTCTCTGTGCCAACATTCCGCACAAAGATAGACTACAAGCTGTCAGAAACTGTATCCACCATGATGTCACAGCACAGCCAATTGTTGAGCTTTGTGACTTTGTTCTCATACACAACAATTTCAGATTTGGGGATGATTTATACCTTCTAGTCAGAGGCACAGCTATGGGTACCTACATTGCCCCACAGTACCGCCAGCATTATTATGGCTGACTTAGCTTTCATCTCCAAGTGCTCCTCCTCTACTTGCACTACATTGATGACATCTTCATCTGGACCCATGGGAAAGAAGCCCTTGAAGAATTCCACCAGGATTTCAACAATTTCCGCCCCACCATCAACCTTAGGCTGGACCAATCTACACGAGATCCACTTCCTGGATGCCATAGTGCAAATAAGTAATGGTCATATAAACACCACCCCATACCAGAAACCTACTGACCTCTATATTTACCTAAATGCCTCATCCAGAATACGTCACACAATCCACTGTCTACAGCCAAGCCATAAGATACAGCTGCACTTGCTCCAATCCCTCAGACAGAGACAAACACCTACAGGATCTCTATCAAGCATTCTTAAAACTACAACACCCACCTGAAGAAGTCAAGAAACAAATTGACAGAGCCAGGCAGAAGAAGTCACCTACTACAGGACAGACCAAGAAAGAAAGCAACAGAATGCCATTGGCCCTCAGGTAAAACCTCTCCAACACATCATCACAGATTCACACCATATCCTCGATGACAATCCCTCCCTCTCACAGACCTTGGGAGGCAGGCCAGTCCCACCTTGCCACTGAGTGCATCAATAGGAAGGGATACTTCTTGATGGTGCTATAGACCCTTGTGGTTCACTGTGGGCATTTCACAGACATTAATGCAGGATGGTCTGGAAAGGTCACAATGCACACATCTTCAGAAATACTGGCCTGTACAGAAACCTGCAAGCTAGGACTTTCTTTTCAGACCACAAGATTCCAGTGGGGGATTTGGAAATCCTCATTGTTATCCTGGGAGACCTAGTTTAACTCTTATAGTCCTCACTCATGAAACCATGCATGGAGCACCTGGACAGCAGTAAGGAACATTTTAACAACAGGCTGAGTAGGTGCTACATAGTGGTCGAATGCACCTTTGGGGGATTGAAGGTGAGATGAAGGTATCTCTACGGCAGGCTAGCCTCACTGAAGACAATATTCCCCTGGCTATTGCAGCTTGTTGCACTGTGCATAATCTGGGAGAAATGTGGGGGGAATTGTTTATTCGGGGTGGAGTACTGAGGCACAGTACTTAGCTGCAGAGTTTGAGCAGACCGACACTAGAGCTGTTAGAGAAGCTCAAAGACCTGCTGTTAACATCAAGGTGGCGTTGAGGATGCACTTTGAAAATGAGGGACACTGAAATCTCTCATAGAGTTTCTTCCAGGTCTCACCCCTCTTCCAAAGCAATACTTGGCCAGGAATTTGCCTTTAAAACCTGCACCTGGGATCGCAGTGATTGATTTGTGAGATTGTTGTATAGTAAATAAAAATGTTGAACTGTTAAAACAGTGTACCTTCATTCATTTGAAAATAGTGCATTATAACAAATAGTGCATTGAAATAAAGCACCCCTGAGAGATGGTAAGGGAAAACAGATCCGAAAATACCAGACCTTTTAGGTGTCTGGTATTTTCTGGGTTTTTTTCCAGATGAGGCAAAAATGCTGGACTGTCTGGATCAATACTGGACACCTGGAAACCCTATGATCAAATTTGGGAGAGGGGATGGAGTGCATAGGAAAATGAGGGCTTCCAGAGAAAGTAAAGAAATATGTGGGCATGGAGACGGGGTTGCTGGATACAGAATTCTGAATCTGCTGTGACTGAGAGGGGCCCTATGTTGGATCACTGTGCTGCTTCTCTAAACACTTCAGGATCTTGGTCTTTTCCTCCATGACTCTGATCATGTGTTCTGTGGTCTGCCTGGCAAAGGCCTGGTTGTCCTTGCAGTTCCTCAGCTCCCTTTCCAAACATCTGTCTGCACTCACTCACTGATTGATTTAGCATTTCACAAACCAAAATCCTCCCTGTTTTTTGTCGGAAGTTTCCTTATCTGTTTCAATTTCTCCATTACAGTTCACAGAGGGGCCGCCAAGGTCTCTATTCTGTAGAGTGCACAAAAAGGAGTCTGTTAACATCAAGTCCTACATTGAACAGTTCACTGACAAACCTCTTTTCCAACATTTCCAATCACTTTCCCCCTGACTCTTGCAAACAATGCATCTTGGCAAGCACCATAATCATGATGAGTGAGGAGGTGGGCTTGCCTGGCAGTCCGTCATATAGACAAAAGAAATTCCAAACAGGGTGTAGTAGGGCAGAGAGGTTGCCCACTGACGCTGAGGGGGAGGTGCCTCTTCCCCCACCTCCCATTCCCACCAAGCCCTACCAGTTTACAAAGACCAAAAAAATTCCCTTTGCAGGACCATAGTTCTACTCATGCCACACTTTTCCACAGGCAGTTAACGCCCTGACATATATCTCCCTGCTCAGGGTAAGCAAGGAAACCAGGGCACAACTTCTGCAAGCTTTTGTGGCTTTCACCCTGCTCCATATGCAGCCCACCCATGTTCTGCTTTGGTTCCTGCACAAGTGAATGGTAGAGGCTAGTGTCCTGCAATGGGGGAAGGGTCAAAGCAGCACTGCTAGGGAATCTGAGGCAGAAAATTTACAAATGGCTCTCCAAAAGTTTTGAGAGCCTCTCTCTGCAGGATTCCATTGAGATCATGGCAAGCATCAACATGCTGCTTGGCCATATCAGTTAGCTTCACAGGGCAACATGCAGCTCACAGAAACACAGCCAGCATCCCACTTCTCCATGCTCTCAGCCCTGCACCCCACAAGCTGCAGCCACGACTTCTCATCCCCTGCTTTCTGGTCCCCGAAAAGCAATTGCTCAGACTGGCTCTGTCAGTAGTAAAGAAGAGTTCCTGGCTGACAGACATACTCAGCAACCACCCTGATCCTTGTCCACCTCAACTTCCTCAACTATAATTTCATTCTCTGTTCACTGCCTCCGTGCCCTCCAAAGTATCCACAGGGCTCTAGGCATTGGAGGTGTCACCACAGACTATAGTGTCCAGTTCATTATAGAAACAGCTCTGGTTCGCTTCACAGGCTTTATGATAGGATTGTCTGAGGGTATGTCTACACTACAGAGTTAGTTCGAACTAACGGACGTTAGTTCGAACTAACTTTAATAGGCGCTACACTAGCGCTCCGCTAGTTCGAATTTGAATCGAACTAGCGGAGCGCTTAGTTCGCACTAGGTAAACCTCATTTTACGAGGATTAAGCCTAGTTCGAACTAGCTAGTTCGAATTAAGGGCTGTGTAGACCCTTAATTCGAACTAGTGGGAGGCTAAGGCTTCCCAGGTTTCCCTGGTGGCCACTCTGGCCAACACCAGGGAAACTCTATGCCCCCCTCCCGGCCCCGGACCCCTTAAAGGGGCACGGGCTGGCTACGGTGCCCGTGCCAGGTGCAAGCCTGCCAGCACCCAGCT